TTTTCTTGGACTACCTAAATTTGCTTGAGGTTTAGGTGGCGATATAGTTGTTGAAGGTCTAAGTGGTGATTTGATTGATTGTCGATGTTTAGGTGAATGTTTTTGAGGAGATCTAGGCTCTGTAGGTTCTGTTGTTTGTCTGATTTCTGGTTCTTTTATTTCAGGCAAAAGCCACTCTTCATGTTCCTCTTCTTTTGTTAGATTCTTCCTTAGGTGATCAGCGTGAACAAATCTTGTGCGGTTTCCTTCCTTAATCAAATAGGTTACAGGGCTTATACATTTGATTACTTTTCCGGGTAACCAGTTCACTTTTTCCTTCCTCACCGAGCGAACAAAGACGTTTTCACCTACTTCAAACATTCGTGTTGAGCCTCTACGGTTATCAGCACTGTTCTTGATTACTTCTTGTTTCCGATTCATATCTGCTGACAAGTTAGGCTTCAGAAGACTCAATGGTGTTCTTGGTTTCATTTTTAAAAACATTTCTGAAGGTGTGCATCCAGTAATAGAATGAGGAGTGTTTCTGTAGGTAAAGAGAAAATTGTCTATTTTGTGTTGGATGGATCGATTAGGTTGATTTTTCTGGTCGTGTAGAAGTTGTTTTAAAAAGGTTTCCTTGACGGTTTGTACCATCCTTTCAGCTAACCCATTCGAAGCAGGGTGGTATGGAGGGGTGAGAACATGGTGGATTCCATTTGTTGTCAAGAATTCCTTAAACTCACTTGAAGTGAACTGCGGGCCTCCATCAGTTACAATTGTTTGAGGTAACCCATAGGCTGCAAAACATGTTCTCAAACGTTCTATAGTCTTCAAGGATGTAGTGTTGGACGACATATAAAACAGTTCAACCCATTTAGTACGACTATCTACTAAAATAAGAAAATCCTTGCCTTCAAAGTTTGCAAAATCAAGATGTAGTCGTTGCCAATTTTGACTAGGCCATGTCCACGGTTGAAGAGGTACAACTGGTACTGATTTCCTGGTTGATTGACAAATATTGCATTCTGCAACATATCTTTGAATATCCTTATCCATACCCGGCCACCAAACGTAGCTACGAGCTAACGATTTCATCCGTGATTCACCGGGATGCTCTGAATGTAGTAGATTAAGAATTTCCTTTCTGTGAGTCGGGGGTATGACCACTCGAGTTCCCCACAATAAGCAATTTAATTCTACTGATAATTGATGTGTTTTGTCAGTAAACGGTTGCAACTCCTCACTAACATGATTAGGCCACCCATGTAAGGTGTAATCCATCGCTTTTGACAAGATTGGGTCAAATTTTGATGCTAGGCCTATCTCTTTATGTGTTATAGGCAAACTGTAAGATGTAGAAAAGAAATTGATTTCTTCAGGTTCCTTCTGGTCGTAATTGCATGGCAGTCGGGACAAGGCATCTGCATTCGATATCTCCGAGCCTTTCCGATAGATAAGTTCATATTGGTACGCTGCCAAGATAAGTGCCCATCGCTGTACTCTCGCAGCTGATAGAGTTGGTATGGATTTGTTAGGTCCTAATATAAAAATTAGAGCTTTGTGGTCAGTCACGAGCCTGAACTTACGACCATACAAGAAAACATGGAACCGTTTCACAGCAAAAACTATTGCTAAAGCTTCTCGCTCGATTTGAGCATATTTGCGTTCACTTTGGGACAACGTCCGAGACGCAAAGGCTATGGGCCTTTCAGAGCCATCTGGCAAAACATGAGCCATCACCGCACCTACACCATATTGTGAGCTATCACAAGTTACTAAAATATCCAACTTTGGATCAAATGGCATCAATACATTGTTTTGTAGAAGCAACTTTCGGCTTTTCTCAAACGCTTCCTCACATTTGTCATTCCACTTCCATTGAACTCCGTTATTTAACAACTGGTGAAGGGGGTACAGCAAAGTAGACAGGTTTGGCAAAAATTTGCCGTAATAATTCAATAATCCTAAGTACGAACGCAACTGCGTGACATCATTAGGCCTTGGAGCCTCTACAATCGCTCTACTCAACTCTGGACTCGGATGGATCCCTGTACCATCCAGAAGATGCCCTAGGAATACAATACTCTTTTGGAAGAACTTACTTTTGGTCTCGTTTATTTTTACACCATATTCACTCAGCCTAGTTAAAACCTTATGAACTAAAACTATCATTTCTTCTGGTGAGTGACTTATCAATAGAATATCATCAAGATAGCAATAGGCATTTTGAATCCCTGACATGATTTTATCCATTACAGACTGGAATATAGATCCTGCACTAGAAATCCCGTACGGCAGCCGCTTGTAGCGAAACAACCCTCTTAGAGTATTTATAGTCAAAAGGGCTTGTGAAGATTCTTTTATTTTAACCTGGTTGTAGGCAGAAGCCAAATCAAGCTTACAAAAATATTTAGCGTCACCGATTTGAGCAAATATTTCATCTGGGTTCGTTAAGGGGTAATGATCTGTTCTGATACTCTGATTTAGCGTTATCTTAAAATTCCCACAAATTCTGACAGATTTGTCTGCTTTCGGAACAACTACAATGGGAGTAGCCCAATCCGTTTTTGTCACCGGATATATTACATCATTTCGTACCAAATTATCTAATTCCTTGTCTACTGCAGGACGTAACGAGAAAGGTACATTATGTGGTTTGCAAAACACAGGAGTAGTATTTTCTTTGAGCACCAACTCCACCTCTACATTTTTAATTTCTCCAAAAGCAGCGTCAAAAACACCTGCGTATTGCTTCTTTAATTCCTCTACGCTAGGCTTAACAAAATTCAGAACAGTCTTACCGTTCAGTTCGTTGACGACAGAGTCATCTTTGCATTCCTTCATTACTTTACTCCAATCCAGCTTCATTGCTTCTAGCCAGTTTCTTCCCATTAAAATTGGTTGGTCGGTCGAAGTACTTTCAATCACTACCATCGGAAGGACCATTTTTTTCCCATTGGAAATATTTACATCTGCCTGAAACTCGCCAAGGACATTAATTTTCTCACCTGTGTATGTCTTCAAACATATTTTGCTTTTTGAGAGCAGTGGGACAGAATCCTTAAATTTATCAAAATAAACAGAGTCCGGTAGCACGCTAACAACAGCGCCTGTGTCGATCACCATCTGTAAAGGTACATTATTTACACACATTTCAGCAACAAATTTATTAGGCCTACTTTTATCATTTGAGTAGGCAATTGTATACAATTCTAGTTGATATTCATCTTCTTGATTGATGTTTGCCTGTTGAACATGTGAGCAACTCTCCTGGTCGCCCTCTTCATCGCAGAAATTCACCCTGGAGCTAGGCCTATTTTTACCATGGCCTACATTTAGCCTATTTTTGTTCTGGAAACAAACAACAGCAAGATGTCCTTTACGTTTACATAAATTACATGTATAACCTCTATACGGACAATTCCTTAGATCATGTTCTTTTCCGCACCTGTAGCATACCTTTGAACTAACATTTTTGTCAGAAAAACCTTTCTTAAAACTAGGTTTAGAATTCTGTACAAATTTCTTAGGTTTAAAATTACTCTTCACAAAACTAATCTCACCAGACTGCTTCGTACCATCAATGTGAAAGAACCTAGTATTCTGCTCCGCATTCTCGACCAACAAGGCCGCTTCAATCGCCTTATCAAAAGTAAGCGATTCACCCTCTGCTAAAAGTTTGCTCTGAATGTGCGTAGACCTCAGCCCACATAAAAACCTATCTCGGAGAGCTTGCTCCAAAAATGTCTCGAATTTACAAGTTGCAGCTAGCTTCTTTAGTTGGACAGCATACTCAGAAATGCCCTCATTTTCCCTTTGGTTTCTTTTATTAAACAAAAACCTTTCATAAGTAATGCTTTTCTTAGGAGCATAGTGAGACTTCAAAACTTTAAGCAGATCAGAATAATCTTTATCTTTAGGTGCATCTGGGACCAAAAGGTTTTTTAATGTAGCATACATTTTAGGCCCCATAAGTGATATAAAATAGCCCTTTTTATCAGCATCCTTTACAGCATTTACAGTGAAGAAATTTTCTAATCGTTCAGAAAAATTTTCAAACGACTCAACGTCTGGGTCAAATTCAGACAACTTACCGATAATCGGTTTGCCAGCGGTAGCCATAGCCTACGATAATATTCACAATTTAGCATTTAAAACTGTACAGTTGAAAATCTTTACTGTAAAACACTTTTTTACTAGCATATTTCAACATTAGAATAACTTTTCACAACTCTCCACATGTGCTTTTCCACTTCCTTTTCAAACATGAAAATCGACAAACTCAGACTTGAAAAGTGCAAACTATGACTCATAGGAATTTTCCCCGCTTCTCCTTCAAAACCCTTGTTCCATTTCAACTCCACTATCCCTTTTAGTTCACTAGTGAAGCGAACAATCGTCTGAAACTGGAACCAACTGGGATACTTATTACTGAAACAATACTAGCTACTCAGTTGTACGTTACCGCTCATGCAACTGCTCCTAGATAACAGTTCTTCTCTCCAAACTAGAGCGTGTGTTATTGAATTAACTGCTACTTGCAAAGCCGTTATTTACTCGTAACCACTTGAAGCGCAACTACTCCTCTCCGGCACTTTATTTGTAACAGTTCTTGAACCCTGTTCCTTCTTCTACTACTTCGACTTGGACGAACTTCTAATGAAATGAAACTTCCAAAATGGCGGAACCAAACTTGAGACAATTTAAATATATTGAAAAATCGCACTAAAAATATTAACAGGAAAAACTTCTTTACATTTTAACATTTACACACGAACTGAACAATTTAAAACCTCGTCGCCAGATTTGTTGTACATTAACTGAGCTTAATAAATTGTTATACGTTGGCCTACGGAAATTATACGGTAGAGTTAAGAGGTGCACGTACCTGAAGTATAACGTAGACTGCGTTGTCGTCCTCATCGTCTTGTCTCCAGGGTTTGAACTTTGTACTGTGGACCTTTGATTTCTATGCTATTGTTCTTAACCATTGTAGTTGTCTACTTTACAACACTACTTACCTCAGGAGAACTTGTTACTTTAAAATATGTTTTCTTTAACAGTAAGGAAATATCAGTAAATCTATTATCAGTTTTGTACGGAGGGCTTCTTTTCTGACTAAACAATTTTGTTATAATATCACTGAATGTTACACTTGTTTGTGCATTATTTTCACTCTGTCCATATTCTCTTAGAATGTTAATGTCCTTTCCACTGACTGTAAACTCCAGAGTGATCACTTGATATACGGATTCATCTGCATTTTTGTCTTTCTGGAACATTGATAATAAGTTAATCAAGGCATTAAGTTATTACATATTTTTAGTCTAGTTTATTTATACGGTTAGAATTTCCTTAAAGTATTAACTGAAATTACTTGATTTAAAATTAAATCTGTAAATTCAATAGGTACTACTGTTCCTTACTGAACATTTAACAACACTAAAAACTTTATTTATTATCAATTGTAATACAAACATATTTTTAGAAATCATCTGTTTAAAGACAAAATGAAATATAATTGAACCTTTAACTATTGATATAACATTTTCTACAGGGCGAGTCAGCTAGACTAGTTTAGTAGTTGGTCTTCTTCAGGTTCCGGTGGATGTTTTGATGTCTGCTACCCTCACTTGGCCATCTCGTCCAGCGTACACAGCTTCGACTACACCCTTTGCCCCCCCCTCCCCCAGACTTGGTCATCTTCGGCAATTAGTACCACCTCTCCTTCTTTGAGATTATCTTGCCTTTCGTGCCACTTTGAGCGTTTGTTGAGCAATGAAATATATCCTTTCAACCAGGGCCGATTTACCGAATAGGCAAGGTAGGCACGTGCCTAGGGCGCGAGGCAATTGGCTTTTTTGGGGGGTGCCAAAAAATTGGAAAAAAGAAAAAAAATTGTGGCCGTTTTTGCATGCAATCGCGGTAAACTGATAATCCCTTGAGGCCATGAAGACACCTTAAAAGTCTCCCACAATTGCGGCAAGATGTTAATTATTTACCGCGGTTGTATATAGGGGAGGTCATCATCGTCCGTCTCCCGCGATCGCGTCAAAGTTGTGACTATTTCCAGCGGACGTGTGGACATAATTATCGTCTTCCTTGATCGCGGCAATATATGAACACATCCCGCGGTCGTGATGAGATTATCACCGTCTACCGCGAATGAGGCAAAATTGTAATCTTTTCCCGGGGTCGTGTGGACATTATCATCTTCTTGCGTGATCACGATAAAATTCTGATAATCCCTCACAGCCGTGAAGATATCATCGCCTCCCGTGGTCGTGAGGCATTGTCATCCTCTCCCGCCATTGCGGCAAATGGTAATCATCTCCCGCGGTCGTTTTGAGATCATCATCGTCTTTCACGAATGAGGCAAATTTCTGATCTTTCCCGTGGTTGAGTGGACATTATCATCTTACGCGATTGCGGTAAAATTCTGATCATCCCTCGCAGCCGTGTAGAGTAGACATCATTATTGTAACTCCCACGATCCTGTAGACATCGCAATCGTCCCCCGCTGTCGTGAAGACATCATATAATCGTCTCCCTCGGTCGTGAAGACATCGTAATCGTCTCCCGCGGTCGTAAAGACATCGTAATCGTCTCCCGCTGTCGTGAAGACATCGTAATTATCTCCCGCGATTACGGCAAAATGTTAATAATATCCCGCAGTTATGTGGATATCATTATCGTCTTCCGCGATCGTGGCAAATTTCTGACTGTTTTCCGTGGTTGTGTGGACCATGATCATATCCCGCGGTCATTTAGTCATTATCATAGTCTCGCGCGATCGCGGTAAAATCATGATCATATCCTATGGTCGTTTAGATATTATTATCATCTCATGCGATCGCGGCAAAGTTCTGATCATCCCTCGAGGCCTTGTGGAGACATATTATCGCCTCCCGTCTCCCGTGGACGTGGTCACGGAAACGTCACTGTTGTAAATTTACAATTCCAGGTAGAAATAGAAAATTAACACATAATTCCTGGTTCAAAAAAATTCACGCTTAGTTCCCGGATTTCCCGGTTGGTGGTCACCCTGTTATATATTGCAAAGGGGCGCTACTTTTAGTTGTGCCTAGGGCGCTGACATGGTCAAAAACGGGCCTGCTTTCAACCATCGCTTCCATTATTTGTCGGCATAATCTTGAGCGATTTTCCTTTGTTTACCATTAATGGCAGATGTTTCTCATTAATTGCAACCGATGGCATTAGTATGTCTTTACTTGGAGTTAACAGATATCATCGCCCCCCCCCCTTGGTCGATGCCCCTGAGGTACGGTACCAGTAGCTTACAAACAAAAATATTTTACATAAGTTAGGCCTAGGCTTAAGTTACCTGTGAATCCAAAGCATTCACAAACAAGTTGACAAATCGTCTCAAGAATGTTTCACTGCTACTGCATCGTTTCTGTAAGATGTGATTCTCCATGTCTGATTGTACAAATAACTTTGATGGATTTTCTCCAAATGTAGGCCTAGGCATATTTGAAGTTGAGCTTTCTCCAAACATATCAAATGGATCGATCCATCCTGGTTTAGGTGCAGGTATACTGTCAAAATCAAATGGGTCAATCTCTGAATTGCAAAAGCAAACTGAAGTAAATTCAGAAATTATTGCTAGAATAAACAACGTTTCAAAAGAGAAATACATAATTCGTCGTCTTTTTAAAAGAGTTTACAATAAATAGGCATAACATAAAGCCTGTAGCCTGTTGTGCAACGTGAGAACGTAGCCGTCAACCTAAAAATTAATTGCTAAGCAATATTAAACGGAATAGGCTCTACGGTGTTATAGATCACTAGAAATCAACCATGAGCATTATCAAAAATTTAAATAATTCAACTGCAATATAGCCTCCGATTGCTAGCCTAATAAAGGAAAATACACAAACAATAACAAAAGACTAAACTTGGTATCCTACTACTACTACAACAAATTACAAATTGCAATATTACAAACAAAACATAACAAAACGACAGACGAGTCAGACGACCACTCGACTGATAGTTTTTTTTTGTCTCTAGTTTGCTTAGCAGGCTTCGGTTTAACAGACCAGGCAGCCTTGATGTACACTGTATAGTTGTGATTGCTTCCAATTCTAATTAATCCTAATTAAGGTTATTTGTTAGCTTACAAACATTTTGTTATTGAACATAAATGTGCACAATCAATGTTTCATGTCAATATTGTCCTAGTTTTTGTTAATTTACCTAATTATGTATTAAAGATAGGATTTTCTAAAGGGTCAAGGGATTCTTTAGGATGGTAGAGATAGGCAAACTTCTTTCTTTTACTCCATACATCTTGGTCTTGATCTTCTTTGCCAGGGGTCCATCAGGCATAAACCCAGAAGATGGGAGGAGGGCCACGGATTAAGAAACCCAGGAGTGGACAACATAAATGTAATTCTAATAGTGTTTGTGTTTATTTGTTCTTTTAGATTGCTTTTCCTATTTCCTTCATATAATTGTTCATTTCCTTGTAAATATGATAATTTCCAGATTTCAGGACTTCTTGTAGGTTGTTTCTATAGGCCTACTTCCTATATTATGTTTCTTTAAGATGTTTATCTCTGAAATAATTATAATTTGGGCAGTCCTAAAATAGGTGCTACAATGATTCATCTACTCCTAGAGTGCATTTCAAGCAAAGTGTGGTAAAGTACATGTTCTTAGAATGGAGATACTTTTCACTCTGACATTGCCTAGCCTAAGTTTGCATATTCGTTATTTCCATCCTGTTGAGTAAGTATTCGCATGGCTCATTCACGTCCTGGTTGAAGTTCGTTCGCTACGCTCACTCAACTTGAGGTTGGAGCTCCTTCGCTGCGCTCACTTGCCTTCAGTTAGCTCGTTCGCTACGCTAACTCGCATCCAGGTTGAAGTTCGTTCGCTACGCTAACTCACCATTTGTTTGGAAATTAGCTGTTGTCAAAAATAAAAAAAATAAAATAGTACTGCATCCTGTTGGTAATCCTTGTAACGTTTATGCTATTGAACATCTTAGAACAGAACCAACTTGTTTTATTGAAACAGCTGTTAAGATTCATTAATTCCTTTTAAATATGAAAAATCATAAGATTAACATGGGGAACTACAGAGCCACTGGGGCGGAGCCCGAAAGGGTTTCTGAGATAAGAATATGCTTTAATGTTAATCGGGAATGTGAGCTATCTTCATGCCAAATTTCAGCCCAATCCGTCCAGTAGTTTATGCGTGATTGAGCAACACACACACAAACTCACAAACTTTCAGATTTATAATATTAGTAAGATAAGATATGTATATATACTATATGTATATATATCCTTGAACGCATTAACTTGAGTAATTTTCGTCCGATTTTGATGAAATTTGGTTTAAAGGTGTCAGGAAAACTTGACTAAACTTGAATGAGTTTGCGAACCAGCATGATCGGACCATAGATTTACTAATATCTCTCTAAACCTTTTAAAGAGCTTAAAAAAACAAATAATATAGTGTATCAAAGTGTTTTCACGGTTATTTGTAACAGAGAAGATTAAAAAAAAATTGTAAATTTAAAATTTCCATGTTATTCTTATGGATAGTGTTGTAAAATGTAGTTTGCTTGTTTATGGATATATTTTGATCTAACTTGGCAAATTTATTTATTGTATACTAAGCTAATAATATTTTACTAAAAACCCCCACTATAATAGTTTCCTTGCAGCAGCAAACCTAGGTACTCATCTAACCTAATGTTATTCAAATAGATTTAATTAAAAATCAATTCAGACAAATGGAAATTCGCTAAGTCGGCAGGTTTGCTCCGGCGGGGGTATTTATTTACTTTCCGGTTAGGGTTCACTTACTCTACGAATCATTGACACAATGAGCCTCCAAATATGTAATTCTTAAAACACATGGCTCACTTACTCTACAAATCATAGTCTATACGAGCTTCGTAAATAATATTGAAGGTTCACTTGCACTACAGGCTCGTATACTATACGAGCCGATCAAAAATATCAAATAAATTAAGAGGGTTCACTTACTCTACAGATCATAGTGCCTATGAGCCAAGCGTATGAATTCTTGAATAATTCAGGAATAAGCTCGTATAGTATACGAGCCAAAATACTGAATTTAAATAAATTACAGGAGTAGGCTCGTATACTATACGAGCCTATTTCATGATAACTATTACACAAATAGAAGACGGCTCACTTACTCTACAGTTCATTGGCACAATGATCTGTAGAGTAAGTGAACCCTCTACAAATATTATAAGGCTCACTTACTCTACGGTTCATTTAGCTACTCGTAGCGCGGTTTGCAGCGCATCGTTGCAGGCGTGTATGGTAAACCAATACCGCAGTTCTGCCGTTCTGCCTTACTTCTGCCGTTTACTAGTCTTGCAGCGTGAAAGAGAGCTTGTTATGTTAATGCATTGTTGAATTTTTAACTTGTGTACTCGTTGCTAGAAATCAAGCAATTATCAAGTACCGGTATTACAGGAGCTATTTTAAGAGTTATTACAGACTTAATTTTCAATTAATTAAAAAGACTCACGTAAAAGCTTATGCAACTAATGGAATTACTTACTGTGTTATGAACATTTCTATATAATTAAAGTTGTAAATATTTTAAAATTGTTTAGAAGATTGCCTTTTTAGTGTTTTCTACAAACGTGTCTCAACTTATACACATAGACTGGTGGAGTGGTAATTTATATTTCTAATCATTTAACTTTAAATTATGAACGCTTTCAGTCACGTGAAGTTGAATTAATTAAACTGACATTAGTTTTTACCATAAATGATAAACCTTTTGAAATTGACTTAATAGCTTTGTATAGAAACTATAAATATGATTTTTATTTTTTCCGCAATGATTTGCAACGTATTTTGAGTAATTGTAAAAACACAGCTATTATGTTAGGAGATATAAATTTATGCATTTTAGAACAAAATAACAGTGTTATTGATTATTTAAGTATAATGAACTCATTTGGTTTTGAGTCGTTTATAAATGAGCCAACTTGGGGGAGAGAAAATTGGGTAAAGTGTTTAGACCATGTATTCATCAGAAGTAAGACTAATTTAATTTTTCATAGTAATTTAGAAAACTATGACTTTACTGATCATGCTGGAGTTAATGTAAATTGCGTAACAAGTTGTGATAGTGCTTTGAAAGAGGAGTTAAGGCTGTAGATCATTCAATTTTAAAAAGAAGGTTGGCTGAAGTGAGCTGGATGCCAGTGTTTGATTGTGAGGATGTTGATAAATCTCTAACAGTTTTTTACGATATTTATAATAAATGTATTGAGCAATCAAGTTTTTTAAGGCCTATTAACAGTAAAAATAGGCATCGAACTCCATGGATATCGGACACACTAATTAAAAAGATAAATGAAAAAAACAGACTTCACTCTCGATTGAAAAAGCACTATGACATACATTTGTTTAATAGATATAAAGAACTCTCTAGAGAATGTTCTAATTTGAAAAGACGGGAAAAAATTAATTATTACTCATCTAAAATTGAAGCAGTAAAGGGCTGCATCAAAGTCTTATTGGAATATATTCAAATCTATTATGAGAAAGTCAAAAAATGAACTAACATCTATTAATATAGAAAATAAAATTGTACAGGTTGAGGGTAATGAAAAAATAGTTGTTGACTCATTCAATAACTATTTTACTGGTATGCCGGATAAGCTGATTAGAGAATTGTATGGGCCGGGATTCCCCGCCATGCCGGATATCGGTCTAGCGTGCAGCTCAAGGTTACGTTTATCTGAAATTACTGAGGTAGAATTAGAAAGTTTAATCTTAAGCAAACCAAATAAACAGTCTGTTGGCTTTGATGGTATTTCCATAAATACTATAAAAGAAAATGTTAAGATTTTTGTCCCAATATTACGTCACATTTTTAATTTATGTATAAAGCTAGGTTACTTTCCTTCTAGTCTAAAAACAGCACTAATTGTTCCAGTATATAAGGCAGCTGATCCATTGCAAATGAATAATTACCGACCGATTTCACTTTTAAATACCTTTGCTAAGCTGTTAGAAACTTGTGTGAAAAGCCAATTAGTTAAATATTTTTCAGATAACAATTTATTTTCAAATAATCAATTTGGGTTCATGAAAGGTAAAAATACTGACCTAGCAGTTGAAAGACATATAAGCGAGATAGTTAATCATGTTGATGAGCGTAAACCAACAATAGGAGTTTATCTTGACTTTACTAAGGCATTTCACTTAGTTAATCAAGACATATTATTACATAAACTAAAGTTATATGGAATTCAGGGAAATAGTTTTAAGTGGTTTGAGACTTTTTTAAATGAAAGAAAACGGATGGTTAAAATAAAAAACGTTTACTCAGATGTATGTTCTCAAAGGCTTGGCGTCCCTTAAGGGGGAGTGCTTGGACCAATTTTATTCACAATTTATATTAATGACATGTTATCAATGGATTTAAAATCGAAGATATATGCTTTTGCTGATGATACATCTTTAGTATGCAGTGCTAACAATTATGATTTACTGAGGATGAAAATTAATAATTATTTGGACGTAATATCAAATTGGGTGATAAGAAACAAATTAATCGTCAATACTTCTAAATCTAATGCAATGATATTTACTTTCATTTACACTTCATTTGACAGAGTCGTTGAAAGAAGAGATCGATCTACGTTGTCATTTAGTTACTTGTTTTCGTGATTGTTGCTGTACAAAAATTAATTTTGTTGATTCGGTCAAGTATCTTGGCCTTCATATAGATTCAGATTTAAAATGGCATACACATGTTAATCAACTATGTAAAAAACGTAGAAAAATTAACTATAATTTCTTTCATTTGAGACAGTTTATTACTCCTAAACTTCTTAGAACGCTATATTTATCCTGGTTTGAATCTACTCTTAAGTATGGTTTAATTCATTGGGGAGGGACGTTTTCAACAATACTT